CGAAAACACTAGTAACATAGCTTTCATCAATTAGTTAGCCAGCACAGACATAATCTTTAAACCTGTACCCATTCATCAATAGCCTGATAATCAGACTGCATTGCCATTTAGTTTGACTGCAATTATTCAGCTTGACATTTTGGCTACATTCACACTGCGAGCTTGAGCACTCAATTCTGATCTATTTTGTTTTGTTTGGCCCTAACCAATCGGTAGAGAGTGATGTATCCATCACACCCCCTCTATTTTCAGTTAACATGGAAGCAGTGGTGGTAGTTACAAGGAGTGCCTTCAAATATAAAACGACAGATGACAGCACATTGGAGTTTTCATTTTATTTAAGTTATTTCTTAAACATTCACTGCAGCCTTATCAATGCTGTTAGATGAAGTTATTTCAGACTTCCCAAACTAAAATGTTTGTTGTTTTCAGAAAAGCTCAGGTCTTTAAGGGGCTCCCACATAATTCGAGCTCTGTTTTTTTTTTTTTCATCTCATAATCCATCATAGGCAGGTGTGCTGCAGGCCCACACCAGCCTGTTAAACAATTACAATACCTGTCTCAGTGATGTTTCATTCATGCATAGTCTTCTTTTTCAAGTCATTGATGTTCTCGGTGCAGTCCATTGCTTAAAATATGTACAGACGGAACTGTGCTGCCGTCTGCAGTGAAAAGCTTCAACTCTGAGAAATATCAAATCAAATCAGTGCTGTAGACCTTTGCACATTTCAACCAGAATTATATATATTACTATATTTAAGCTTTTAAGAATCACTTAAGTTGAGTGAAGTTGATTGGTGCTCAAAGTAGTGGTGCTTTATACTTGCAGCCACCATATAGTACAGCTATAAATCACTGGTCAAGATATCTGTCAGACCTCCACTCTGAATTTCACTGCTCCACTGAGAATGAGTCATCTGTCCTGGTTTCATGCTTTGTCTGGCAGGGTATTACAGACCCTCAATGATTCTCTAAATCTATTAACAGAGAGCCACACAAAGACAATCTTTGCATAAGTGATGTGATGTGCACAAAAATATTGAGATATGATTCCATCTAAATATCTCAAAAAACATTCTTCATCTCACATTGCTGTGCCCTGTGTTTCCTGATTGTTTGTGTATTCCAGGTAAAAAGCCTTGTTTTCCTGTGCAAACCATCTTGTTGGTGAGATGGGCTTTTCAAAGGCTCAATACATCTGCTTCAGTTTGTTTTAAGTCCATCTGGTACAAATTCCCAGTGCCAGGGGGGAGTTGGAGCAGAAGTTGAATATTGATTAGACCAATCTGAAATATTCGCCTCCTTAGAGCAGTTGACACCACACGCCCCCACAAGATTATGTGAACGGGTGGCCCACTGAATCCACTTAACAACTTAAGTTAACTTCTTGAGTGCCCCTTACAGACTTGCACTATTGTAGCATTGACCCCCACAGTGAGTAATGGCAAGATCCATACAGTCTTCTACAGGTCTGAAGCAGGCGCTGATTCATTGGGGGCGTAGGTAGGGAACAGATATATATGCTGGTTTAACTGCAAACAGTCATATATATCAAAAATGCTTTATTATTATGTGTTAGTTTAACTCAAAAGCATTACATTATTGTAGCAAATTAGTAAAGCATTGAATAGAAACATCTCAGTCAATTGTTTCAGACATTTTTCCAAATACAAATATTTTTTTATTTAACTATGTATATAACAGATCATGAAATTAAATGTGTTCATGTTATTTTTAAATGTATCTAAATTAATGTGTTCAATTTGACATTTGACACCAAACTGGGATGCCAATGCCTCCCCACTAGATCCGCTGCTGTCTCAAGAGGAACTTTTGAGCAACACAAAAAATTGGTAAAAAAAGGAATATTCAAAGAGATGCCTGTTCTGTTGTACAAAATTAAAGACAATTTTGTGCTGTTCTGCAGTAGCAAAGTGCCTCACCATTTTTTCGCTGTTGTGTACAGCATGAAATGGGATATAGTTTGGTAATCTTTGGAAAATAGCAAAAGACAAAAGGAGGAAAAAATAAGGCAGAGTTTATTGTTGTTTTCCTGCTGTGTGTGAGTTGAGAAGTTCTATCAAAGCCTCAGCTGTAACTACCTGCAAGTACTAACACATAGTAATGTGGTATTACAGCAGAATATCTCTGAATGTGCTGCAGAAGTGATGGATTCTTCACATTATACTATTTAATATGTGGCATGGTGTTCCTCTGCCCTCGCTGCCATACTTTCTCATCTGCTCTGGACAGTAGGGATCCATTTGCTGAGCAATTCCTAAATTCCCAGAAGCTCTAGTTACCGTTAAAGGAGAAATCCACCAACATAGTTCTGTCAAAAACTGTTCTTTTCTACAGAGATATGGCACCATAAAACCTCGTGCTAATACTTCTCTTCTTCCATACATTGCAGTTTTAGCTCAGTCAGTGCCACAAAGCTGGTTTGGTTTGGAGGAGGCAGTACACATTACTTGTTAATGGAGAGTAAACCAATTGCTCTTTGTCCTCCTTCTTTCCATCTCTGATGTAAAATGGACCGAACACTCTGTGCTGTGAGTTTTGTAGATGCGTTCACATAAAATGACGTTGTTATTCTGTAAAATACAGCTCCTTTTCCCAGAATGCTACAACTGATGACGCAATATCGCAATAATCAGTGCTGTGTTGATGATGAGCACATCTGGTGCAGCAGCTTTCTTACTGGTGACATAACACTTCTCTCCTCTGGGACTGAGTGGCCTTCACAGCTGTAGCATTGCTTTAGTTAACTGTTGCATTAAGGCAGCTGTGCATCACGTCTCTATGCCCCTGTTGTTTTTATACACTGATTTAATATGTTTTTAATTAGGTTCTTGATTTAATTCACACATCAACCTTTTAACTTAAGTAGGTTACTGGATTAGATGTTTTTCACTTGGTTTTTCACTTCACACAAGGTTGTGAAAGCCATATATGCATTTCTGAATGAATGAATTGAAAAGTTTTGAAAAAGATAACTTCTGTTATGAATTGGCACTATACAAAAAAAATTGAATTGAATTGAATTGAAAAAAATATTCATTACGTTTACATCAACATTGGGTCAAATGACTGAATGCATGTTGACTGGTGATGATGATGATGAAGTCACAGAGAATTTTAGCAGCTTTCAGCTCAGTGTTTTGGTTCTATGGACTGCAACTTTACTGCCCTCTCACCAACTTTGTTTCAAGATGCAGCGCACAGCACTTTGCAGTGATTCAACAAAGTTAGCATCTAGCGGGTGACCGCAGCGGCGCATTTCAGCACCAAAGAGCTAAAAACGTGTCTCTTGGGAGGTGGTGCGGATCAAAAACAGCTAAAAGAAAACAGAATATTGGACTTACATTCACCAGATGGTCAGAAAGAAAAATTTCAAGTGAATGTTAATGCTGCTTCATATCTGCTGGATGTATTAAAGAGCAACTGTTAACATCATAACAGCCACGTTAGCTGCTAGCTACCAACTTAAAAGTTGATACAATGTCAGTGTTGTGTTTACAAGTTATTTCGTTTGCCGCTTTAAAGGACAAGTGTGTAGGATATAGTGGCATCTTGCGGTGAGGTTGCATATTGCAACTAATTGAACACTGTTCACATCCGTATTTGACGACATGAGAATAAGAACAAGCTGTGAAGAGTGAATGAAAAACTACAGTGGCCACGAAACTCGCAGACCCCATGAAAGGCCCTATCTAGAGCCAGTGTTTGGTTTGTCCCTTCTGGGCTACAGTAGAAATATGGCGGTTCAACATGACGGACTCCATGGAAGGCAACCCTTGGTGTCTTTAGATAAAAACACAATGGTTCATATATTCAGGTGATTATACACTAATGAAAACATATCTGAATATTACATCCCATTTCTGCCAATAGATCCTCCTAAATGTTACACACTGGACCTTTAAGGACAAAATACAGGTGATATGTGAGTCGGATAGGATAGAGGGTGTTGTGTTTAGAAAATTGTAGAACCCATTTAAGACAAAGTGCAAAGAGGCTATACGTATAAATAAAATTGATTTGACTTGATTTAATTGATGAAATACAACAATACCTTTTATATTGTTATTATTAATGTAACTAAGTGGTCTGTCTTATGGCCTAGGGGTTTGAGCACAGAGCACAAAAGGCATGAAAACATGAATCACTTCGGTGTGTCTGTGCCTTGGTGACTAATTCATTGTTAAGTTAAAAGTTATTTCCAAAGGCAAAAGGTCATGGTATTTTTTTTTTACCCAATAGGCTACAACATGTATGTAAAGTTGCAGCATGAAATAGCAAAAAAATCTCATCAACTGCAAGATAGCCCAGACACAAAATGCCTCTTGCTGGAGGTCGTTTTGAGTCCTGACAGGCTCAGGCTGAAAATGTCAAGTTGTTATATAGCTGTCATCTCAGAGTCAGTAATGAGGAAGATGATATTGCTCAGACCGGAGCGCCAAAACAGGTAATGCTATTCGCACACGGGGTCAGCTTCATGATTGTTCTTCTCCATGTCACCTCCTTCCACTGACCGAAACCAACTGCCACTGTCAAACGACGTTCCTGCCAATTACTGCTACAGCTTGAGTGAGTATTGTTGGACATAATAATAGGGACGCCTCGCCTAGCTTGCCAAGCGGTAATTGTTGAGCTCTAAATGGACACCGGATTGTTCTGAATTGGCGTTTGGATGCCCAAAACACATTGAAGAGGGACAAATTGTGCTTTCTATTTGTCCCTGTCTTTATTTTTACATGTTTTTTTCTTAAAATAGTGATCATGGCTGATTTTTCATGTCTCTGTGCCTTGGCTGAAATTAACCCGTTTGTAGATTATGGGTATTAAAGCAACAAAAGCTAAATGTTTTCCATCTTTGTAACACGTGGGTGAAATAAACCTTGATTTGAGCTGTCCTGGAAAGCAACTAGAAAAAAGGGAAATGAGGATGTTAGAAAAACAGCCCAGAAACAAAAAACTCTGCTTCATTGTCCCCACAGAATGAACCAGGCTCCCACCACTGGTTTTGAGGAGGATGTGGGTGCCAGAACAACACATCATGTTATGTACCCAGAAAGTGCCATAGACCTGGACAACACCACCAGTCTGGTACTGATCCCTTTCAAGACTTTGGACCTACAGTGGATCCTTAGTGCCCTGACATCGGGTACCATTAAACAGTAAGTGCACCAATCTTTATGTTAATATTAAGACTGAATCAAGTGACTGTGTGCAGTGTGGATTGTGTTGCTCCTAGCAACAAACCCACAAAGAATCACGTGACCCGGCTGCTCCCATCAGCTTTACCGATCTTTTTAGTGTCTTTCAGCTCATTGTTTTGGTTTTCTCGTTTGCTCGTAACTGTACCTTATTTTGCTCTCTTTAACCTAATTTCCAGCCAGAGCACACAGCTATTTTCAGAAAATAAAAAAACTTCTGATAAATCCATTTTACACTAGCAACTAAGGTGCCAGATTCAGGAGTTACCTGAATAACAGACCCAAAAGGAACATTTATATTGGACTGAGGTGGCTAGAAACATGAATGTTAATGTTGTTCTGTGTCTACGGGATATGTAAAAATACGCTGTAAAAATGGCTCTTCTAGAAACAAGCCAAATATCCTTTAATATAATACTTTTTTTTGTATCTGCCAATGGGCTAGTATAAAAATCTAGTTACTGAAAATTACTTAAAACTAGAAAAAATGCCAAACATTGAAACAAGTTGTGCTTATTACAAGCAATGAAAACTCTCTTATTTAAGGCAGACTTGCACAAAATAGTATTTGTATTTTGGTCACTTTATTGAGCTGGATTTAAGAAATTTTAACCTTAATCTAGATTAAAAAATTAGCAAAGAAATCTTTCAATAAGACACAATCTCTTTAAACAGCATAATAATAAGTGACTTACTTGCTGGCTTACTGGTTAAATCTGGCTCAATATTAGCTGTATTATTTTATTAAGACAAAATGAGATAGATTTTCTTAAAACAAGATTACTTTTCCAATGCAAAACATGCTTGACAATATTATTTTTCTTTTCAGACAAAAAGTAAGACTCATTTCCCAGAAACAAGGCTTTTTTTTTTGCTTTTTGAGTTGATAAGGTATGTTACAGCTTGTTGCACTGCCACAAAATAATCAAAAATTAGTAAATCTGGCTTGGAAATAGAGACATCAGTGTGCTTATGTAAACTATTTTCTCTATGTAATTTAGTTATATGACTCACAACAGAAAGTAAATACACATCACTCTTCCAGTGAATATCTGTTGGCATTCTAATACAATAGACTCTAATGTTTTTTCCTAATTTCCATAATTATTATTATTTGTATTTTTTGGGGGGCCTTTTATTGCCTTTATTGGATAGTGACAGCCGAAGATAGACAGGAAAGGGGGATAACACGCAGCAAAGGGCTGCAGGTCGGATTCGAACCTGGGCCCCTGCAGCAACTCATACATGGCTCGCCAGCTCTACCGACTGAGCTAAACGGGCGCCCTTCCATAATTATTTTAATATAATAATATTTTTATTGTCCTGGAAATATAAACAGCATTAATGCATTACAGTGCCTGATGCGTGTGTCGCACTCCCAGATTCATTTACACTCTCCAAATACCAGATTGTCACAACAATCACACTCGCTCAGCATTCCTATTTGTCATATTGCCATAACAAGGATAATCACTCAGTTTTAATCTTCCAGTAAATTTCACCTTCAGCTGCTTCATTCTCAATGACCCATAATCATTAGCTTGATTACTGGACATCCAGGAGAAAAAAATGGAGCTACTGCCAATTAACGCCACTGCCAATAACTGAAACACGCCAACATGTTAGATGGTGGAAGGACGAGTAAATCCAAACAAATGTTTCCTATAAATGTGCAGTTGTCTTCCAACTCTGCCAAAGCAATCATTCTGCACCGTTAACTTTCACTTCACTGGCAATAATGTCGGCATTAGCCCAACAGCCATTAGATCTTAACTGAGTGTTGTGAATTATTTTGTTACATTTTCTAGTCTTGTTAAATAAAATTGGGCTCTATGAAAAGACTGAACTGTGTGAAGGGACACAGGAGTGACTTTTTTCTGGTCCACATTCACACACTTGGACTTTGAATAGTAACAGGGTTTATAATGTAGCGTAGAAAATGATGCACCAGGCGCATAACAGGCCATTTTCATATTCACTCACCACAGAATGTAGAGGAACTGGATGTACAGTACACATTTATAACGGAATTAGACCAGTCTGTATAATCTTTGAATTTTAATGAGACTGCAGAGGCAACAGCCTTGATAAACCTTTTTTTAATTGGAAACATTTGTCCGGATTGTATCTTACCATATAGCCATTAGTTTTTATTTCCGTCTATAAATGCCATCCCTTTACATTTTCAATGAAGTCTGCACAGGCGTGGTGTGGAATTGACACTGGCTGTAAATTTGCACTTTGTTGCACTGTCAGCTCAACCTGATTTTGCGTGAAAATGGTTTGCATATGAACATTTTTATATGCAAACTGAATATGGACCCCTCATGGAAGCTGCACACACCTTTATTCAAACCCATTTTTTTGTTTCAACATTGCAGTGTCTTCACCAGCCTGGGATGACAAACAACTCTGCATGACACAAATGCAAAAAATTTGACAGTGAGCAGCATGTGTTAATGTAATTACTTCTAAATCTGCCCATAATATTTAAGCTGCTTTCTTCATAAAGAAAGACACACTGGGCATTTATTTTTAGACATGTTCTCGGTTAAATGAGATTAAAATCATATTGAGGATGGGATAGCAGTGATTGAAATAAATAAGCAGAATTGTGTTCCGCTAAAACAGCGTGACAGGCAAGACAAGATTTTAAGCTCCTGGTATTTCCTTGTGTTACAGCACATATATACCTGTTACGTCCAGGATTAAGGCAAACAAAGATAAGGTGAGTTGTTGTCTTCACTTTGTCAAGTGGTCGACTGGTATTTGGCACATCATGTCAAGTGATGATGCGCCATATACCAGTCATGTCACTGATACATACCACACCCGCCAGTGTATGATGATTCTTTACTGAGGTAAGCCTGGTATGTCGCTGCTGTTGGCATACCACTTGTCCTTCACTGACAGGTGCCACTTTTCACGTAGTGCAGCTCACTGTTGCTATATAGCATATAACAGTACAAGTAGTGAGCATATTCTTGGACATAGCTTGACCATAATGCCAAAGAGTCTTTTCATTTAATTTAATAAGTGGTCAGTAGAAGAGTGATACTGTGCATTAGGCATACCGTTACGACAGCAGAGGACTATGCCAGTAACAATCATCATATGGTGGTGGGAAGGAGTATCGGTCAGGGACATATTGTTTTAATGTGCCATATGTTGGTCAAACAGAATCAACATAACACTTAATCAAAGTGGCATTCCTCTAAGAATTGGCATATCAAAAACAAGAGTGGTACGCCTTCAGTATCTGCCAGTGAATGGGGTGACATCCTGTTATTAATGCCATAATCCAGAAGAACAAACTCTGTGCTGCTGTGGCATTAAGATTTTGCTGAACAGCCCCAGGCCTAAGTACATATTCTTTTGACTGTACATAGTCTATAAAGCTTTTATTGAATATTCTTTCTTCCTGATATTTCTTTTTCATTACAGAGTTATTTATGTGAAATTATGTAAGCAATTCAATATATAGAAATTAATAATTTTTTCCCATCTTAGTAAATTACAAAGGAGTAGAACTTCTATTCTATTACTATTTTGCAGGTGTTGATTTACAGTCCCACATTTTTCAAATACGTCTATGAGTCTTGGCTCGAGGGTCATGGACGATATCCTTCCACTGGCTTCCTCAGCTTATTGCTTGCTATCCACATATGTGATGAGGTAAGTTGAAACACTTTGTTAAGTACATGCATGACACAGATGGATAAGTGGACGAAGCTTGTGTGGATGAGGTTTTAGTGTGCTTTTGTTCCTCGTCTGCTCCAGGTCAGCGTGTTTGGATTCGGTGCAGACCAGTACGGAAACTGGCACCACTACTGGGAGGAGAACCATTTGGCTGGAGCTTTCCGACACACGGGAGTCCATGATGGCGATTACGAATATAATGTCACCCTGCTGCTGGCAGACAAACACAAAATCCGAATGTTTAAAGGCAGATGATACCAAGCCCATATGTGCAATGGGATGATCACCAAGTGAACCTTTGTTTGTTTTTTTCTTCCTATTACGCTGAAAGACATTGTCAAAGGGGATCTTCTTGTATGTCTTCACTTTTGTTTAAGAGATGACAAACCAATAGAGTTTTTGTCTCAAGACAAAAGCAACACTGCCACTGGTTTCAGCATCCGTAATCCCAACTCAAATGCATCTGAGAGTAAACAAGAAAAGAGAAGATGTCTTGTCAAAGCATGCATACTTGCTATACATAAAAGCTTTAGTACTACGTGTATACTCTGAATGTTCTCTTTTCTATAAATGGTTAGCATTGTGGCTACTGGAAGCTTTGTATTAATGGTCATTGGCACAAAATAAGCCGTGTTGACAGCAGTAGTCAAAATGCCACAGTTTATGATGTATACACATAGCAAGGGTTATTTTGTGCATCAGTTCATCATTGTAATTCATGCGTCACTTCGAGCGTCTTATTGTCTGCTGATCTAAAATGTGTGTATTGGAAGCAGTTCGACTCCAAACCTTTAAAGCATTTTAATGAGCTTGACAAGAAAACGCACAACTGACTATACTGTAAATATCACTCAAGTATGAATTATCACCATATGGCAGTGAAGGTGTTTTGTATTCTAATAAAGGCAGGTATGAGAGAGAATCAGAACTTTTTTCCATCACACAGACCAAATTCTCATAAACTACCTGCACTACCGAGCTACTTGTATCTTTTATGTCTGATTGCAGCTGGAAAGCCAAGAGACACTTAAAATCAAATCCAAAATCAGCCCCAAAGAATATATTTAACTATAGTGTCACATAGATTTCCCACAGGGCCATAGCCAGGGGTTTACAAATGCTTAGCCTCCCACCATATTTTATTTATTCATTAAATATTTCCTGTGAATTTAATTTCTCAAATAGATGGTCAAAATTGTGTTTCAAAGTCCTCTCCACATTGCCAGAAATTAAATTTTGGGAAATAATCTTTAGTATATATTATTTTTTTGTTGTCATCAAGTTTTGACATATGGAGTAAAAAATACTAAATACTAATACTAAAATCCAAATCTTCATCTTCATCATCATGTACATCGAGAGCGTTGCTTTGGGGATGGCAATGTTGGTGGGCCAGTCGCTCCAGGAAATATTCATAATCCCCAGAGGACGAACCCAAATAACTTCCCAGACTCTGGGACTTTTCCTCTAGCAAGTTGACATTTGTGGTTTTCAGTGACATTATTTATAGTTAACTATTAAATGGATTGCAGTGAATTTTGATACACATTCATGTTCCCCTCAGGATGAATTGTAACTTTGGTGATCCCTTTTCATCTAACTCCATCATTAGGCCAAAAATGCAATTTTTTCGAGTTATATCCAAATACCAGGCAAGCTAATGAGATTCCCATCAGCCTCTGTTGTTACTTACATGGTGAACATGGTAAACATTGTATCATAGATAAAGCAACGTAGATATCTCATTGGTCGCTTATTGGGGAGGTCAAGATCTAACAATACTGTGAGATGCAGACTTCACTACAAAACTGTAACTTGCTTAATTAATTAATTAACTAATTTTAATGAAATGTGGTTTGTTAGGGGTTAGGGGTCAGGGTTAGAAAGTGAACATGATAATGGTTACTTGTTGGAATGAATTCAGTTACTGGGGGCAGATCTAATCTGCTTTATGCCAAAACATGAACCTTCTGAACAGCCACGACCTCCACTGGGACATGCAGGCAACATCAAGTATAAATTAGATTGGGTTAGATTTTTTTTCAGTCAGTTTCTCCAGTAGTGTAGATTTCTATATCTGTTATACTGTTACAAAGCAAAGCCTGGTTGCTTGTTTTTGTATTTTGGTCGATTATCTACCACCATTGCTGATTCAGTGATTGAGCAGACTTTTAAAAACTAGACAGAGATTTATTTCATGGTATTTTAGGTTTAAACCATAGTCTAATAAGGGCACAACCTTTGACTGAATGTGTGCCTTGTAAGATCATCATTATTTTCTAGTAAACTTAAATCTACTGATTCTTTGTTGGATCTCTCTTTAGAAACTCGTGGTGTGGACAAGAACTGTTCAAACCCATCTTATTTGAAAGATTTTTTAAATATTGTCAAATGTGCAAAAATGCCAAAAAAATCTTTTCTGTATAATTTCTGAATCATTTCTATAAAATTACAGCTGCATATGCAAAAATGTGAAATTTGTCTACAGGAACAGGGACTCTTGACTGTTGTCTTTCACAATATGGCAACCATGCAGACACATGTCAAATCGATAATGTGGTATCTACGTTTCTATATCTATGCATTATAGCTTTCACATCAGCATGTTAGCATTGTAATCATGAGCATGTTAGCATGCTATCATTAGCATTTAGCTCAAAGAAGTGCTGTGTCAGCATCAGTACAGCCTCACAGAGCCGCGATACTCTTATTCTTCTTCATCTTAGACTCCTATTCTTGTTCAAGATTTTGGGAATTTAAACTCCCTCAAAGGTAGGAGCAAAACTGAAAGAAATTTAGGATTAGGATTACGCATAATTTTTATTCACATCCTTTTAACCACATGTGAGCAGGCTGTGATAAAAAACTTTGTTTTTGGGGTTGATTTCTGGAATGTTCGTTGGCCCTAAAGGGCTCTACTGGAGACCCGGATCGAGAGTTGTGCTATAGTAAAGCCATTGATGAGATTTTCATTACTCATTGTTCTCCAAAAAATGAATAGAAAGGTTTTAAGTGCTTGAGAACAGCAGGTTCTTTATAGATATTCATCATGGGAACCTGACATATGATACAGCCTATACAGGGGTGCCTTATCATTAAAATAATGTTTTGTGTTTTTTTTTATGTACATTGTGACATATATTTTTCATTAAAAGTAGGTGTTAAGTGCCTTTAATGGGAGTTCTAAGACTTCATTTCACCATCAAATTGTGCTGTAATTATTCTCATTATTTCTAAATTTGTCAACGACCTTTACAAGTTTATGTTATTGTTGTTTATACAGTGTCAGTTTTAAAGGCATGATACAGTAAGATTTTTTGTACAAGCCACAGAAGAAAATGTTGGGTATATACATGTAGGGTATATGTCAACATCTTTGGCTGTGCAGGTTTGATGAAACATTGTTTTGTCCAGGCTGGAAATTATTAGCTTCACTTGCTGAACTTGTAGACATGTGAATACTGAATGCTTTATGACTTCAAGAAACACAGAAGCTCATATCTCCGTATCATCAGGAATTGAGCTTGGTGGTGCTTATCTAACAGACTATGATTTGCTCCATGTGCCTTGAAACATAATGGGACATTTGCCTGGTCAGTGTCTTCATGATCGTTTTTTCCTCTCCATGCGAGAGCACGCTGATAAGAAGAGAAGCCACAATATTTGTGATGTCAGATTTATCAGCCACCGTGTAGACGACAGCAGTGTACAGTTGTTCTGCAGGGGACACTGTCACCTAGTGGACAAGCACATGTATCAGCATTAACAGCACTTGATTTGTCCATTATATGACTTATGTGGTGACTCTGTGTTAAGTGACACTTTTAAAACTGTACTCATTGTTTAATATTCAAACATTAATACAACGTCTGTCATTCACATGTATTTGATCTACTTGTCCATCCAGTTGAAGTCTTTATTGTTGAATACATGCTACATAAAACCCCATTAAAGCAGCACCTTCAGAAAAGTCTTCTTTTTTAGTTTGAAGAAGTTTCAGGTCATTGATACTGACTTGTGTGGGAGATATGCATAATGCATATCTTTTATTCAGTGGAATCCCACAGTAAAAAACAATTAAAAAAACATACATGGAGCTTTTTTTGCTGAAATGTGTGAAAAGGACAAGGAGATTAATTAACTATAAATAATACATTTCAGAAAGTTATGCAGATTATGTGTGGGTAAACTGTAATTTAGATGGTTAGCTTGTATACTGACAGGTATTCACAGACCCCACTGAAATGTTATATACATCCCAGTTTAAGATAAATGATTTAATTTAACAACAAAACATGGATAATTATAAATAAAGATTGTATGCCTCATGGCAACATCTTTGAACGTATTTCTCTTGTTTCTGATGTTTTTCCTCATGGATATTCATCTCATGTCTTTGTTTTCTTTTAAAGGTTGAGCTCAGAACCATGGTCATTTGTCAGCTTTAATTAGTGAGGGGGTGTTCATTTGAGTGTCCCTCTCTATGCAGTAATCCATTTCATGCTACAAATAATGGACGTATAATAAAAGTGTGTGAATGCCAGCAGGTTCCTGAGGTTATCATTTATTATTTCTGTTTAATACACTGTTGATTATCTGTTTTCACATCACCGTTTTGCTGAAATAATCTATGGATAAACCCATGATGTGATACCATAAGAATGAACACATAATGTAATCTGATAGAAATAATAAATGGTAAACTGCGCTCCAACAGGATTTTTTATTATTATTATATGCTTAAATGACATAAACACAAAAGCTACAGTTATTATCCCTGAAGAATTGGCTACACCAGTGCTGCCACACATTTATGTTGTTAGCTTCATTATGAGCTTTTCACAGCTTGACTTCACAGTACAGCTGTTTTGTATCTGCTCTGTGAGAAAATTAATCATTTTCACAAATTAGTATAATTAGTGTAGCTGTCGAATCAGCAACTTCTCATTATTAAACTTTATACTTTTTTATCCATAGTTTTAATGGCTGTCCATTGCAAACAGCACAAACTTCATTTAAACATTAAAACTCCTAAAAGACTGTAGGATATAAAATAGAGAATGCAATAAAGGCTTTGGAGACCCATTCACTCACTTGTATTTATAGCTCAGCCTTTATGCATTGTACATGTTACATTAAAATTTCAAGGTGCTCACTTTGGCTTACTGATTATATATGTATAAGCTAATAATAATGAGATGGAAAGGGAATAAGACATAGAATGCATTCAACTGTATGTGGTCTGCTTTGCTACTACTTTATTTATATCTTAGCTAAAGTATCAGTATTATCAATTTATTTTAAGATACTCAGTATGACACACCAATTAATCATACATATACTGCCTATAATGAAAACATTTATAGTTTATGGGTTATAAAATAGATCTGAAATTGCTGGTATCTCATTCGATCCCATTTCAGACATACAGTACAATGTCATTTGAAGTTATGCATTGCATTACTGCCATACATGTAGAGTCTCAGTCAGTCTCAGAACTCACTCGTTATATATAATTCAAGCTGTATTGAAGTTAACATTCAGTATGGACAAACTCGATCAAGCATGTATATGCTCACAGCATATATTGCATGGAAGCATATTAGACTTTTATGTAAAACATTAAACATTCAAATGATTTAAAGCTCAGTACTACATAGTGATATACCGTTTAAGCTTATTCATGTACTGCTACCATTGTACTCTCACTATAAAACCATGATTTAACACAGTGCAGTGTAACATACAATGATGTGGATCATAAGATGCATGTAAATTCTAAAGAGCCTCATTTTCTCATCCTGCCTGAACCTTTATACAGCACACTGCTTCCAGAGCTTCTCAAGCCACATAATCATATGGTGAAGAAACATGCTTCAGCGATATTTAAAGTTATGAAATACTATATGCTAGTAGGTTTTAGGTTTTCCTGACAATGCAGCACTTTCCAACAGCAGCAGCAGAAGAAGTATTTAGATCTTAAAATGTAAAAGGAATCCATTACAAGTAATGTCCTGAATTAATAATTGTATATACCGAAGCATTATCAACAAAATATGATGCAATAAAAACTAAAAGTGTAAAGTACAATATTTCTCTTTGATGTACAGTATATTGAGTAGTACAATACAGGTAAATAAGTAAATACAGGGTGTTTCTTTCCACCACCAATATAATGTAATGTAATATAATATAATGTAATGTAATATAATGTAATGTAATATAATATAATATAATGTAATGTAATATAATATAATATAATATAATGTAATATAATGTAATGTAATATAATATAATATAATATAATGTAATGTAATGTAATATAATATAATATAATATAATATAATATAATATGATG